TGTAAGTTCAATTTTGAAAAATAGTCCGTTTGGGTGATAATCGGTCACAGTAAAGTTAGTTGACCTAAAGCGAGCCCCAATGAAAACAGATATACCTGGAAGTTGTGGTTCGTGGAGCTGTGTAACCACCTAATAAATTACAACTTCATATTTTAAGCGACAATTAAAAGATACGGCGTATATCGAGTACTGGAAATACAGGTTTGGAGATTTGTCCGGCTGACAAATAACTAACAGAAAGAAGTATATATACTTAAGTTTACAAACCAACCTTAACTTTCTCTCTATCTGTTTCTATGATGGCCAGTACTCTAAGTCAAAGTAGACGGTGACTGGATATGCACCTCATAAATCTAGTAATTTTAGTCGATGAAAGTGCACAACTGCACACTATGGAAACAGTTCAACATAAAAATTCATATTAAGCATATTAGCTCATTCATATTAACCATTTACATAATCGCTCGACTGATTAATTAACATCAGTTATAAGCTTGATTGTACTCATAGTCGAAGTTAATTGGAAAGTATATTTAAATGATAAACCTAAATACATTCAAAAGAACTCACCCATTATTGACGTACAACTAAACGTTAAGACAAAAACTATTACCAAATGCCATAATTTTGTAATAATGAAATTGCATAGAAATGGAAATCAGAAATAATGATACATTTTGCAATATAAGATTAAAGTAACATAAACATTTGGAAATAAAAAGTTTCATTATAAGTTTTAAAGTAAAATCAGTAAAACAGTATGAAAAGCTGTCAGGGTCAACTAGAGAGATATATGAAACACAACGACAGAATTTGAAAGATAAGAAACCAGGCAGTTTGACACTTCAGCTCTACTTTTCCCATTGTTTAAATATATAAAGAAAACTTAGTTCGGGGTTATTTGTTTGTTCAACTTAAATCCCATTTTTGTAGATCCAGTAGTTTTGCTTGTCAAACGTTTTCCAGTTACCACTACACAAGTTTTATGTTTAGTGTAATAAGAACTTGTAGTGTGGTGTCAAGTCGCGGTTGACTATGATCACCACTACAGGAAGACTACGTGCCAGTTAACAGGTTAGATTCCACCTTACACCAAATATCAGAAGGCAGTTGATGGCTGTAGTCGAGATGTATTTGTTGGCAATCTCGTGGTATCGAAAGAATAACGAGATCGTGCGACGTTACAAGTGTGGTTACTGAGCGTAACCGAATTCATGCAAGGTCACAATCAACGGAAGGAAGAATGTCTTTAGTACAGTTAAACGAACAAGTACGGTAAAACAATCCCTGGTACAATTGGTTATAATAATAATTGTTTCCATTACACCAATTGCGTCCTCTTGACAAAAGTAGGTCACTACAAACTCATGATATGTAACATCAGTGATCAGAAAGTGTAGAACATTTTCACTGATTTTTTCCCAAGAAATTCACAAATGGATCACTGGTTTATTTAGAGATACGACTGAACAGTCACAACACCGATATATCATTGAGTATTGTGCAAAACCAGTATACTCAAGAAGGTAAATGAAATTATCACGAAAACTAGTATAATTCTCCGTAATATGGTAAAATTGTTTAGTGAAAGATCACCAGTGAGCAAATGATTTTACAAGCGAGGTCGTATCACTAAGTATTACGGAATGAGGATTCCGCATGACTTCAATCAAAATAATGAAACGACCATTAAATTTTGGACAGTTAATTCTACGAACTCTCATATCGTTTAGAACTTATTAGATAAATATATCCAAATTAATTTGCAGGTTATGTTTACGTGTTACTGATTAGCGATTCCTTATTATTAACTGTGTGTAGTTTGACAATAAAACCTAACTTTCATCAATATTATCAGAATAGGTTTTGCGGAGATTTTTAGAAATTTCAGTTGTTGAAATCATGAGTCAATTGAAGCTAGACCATCATGGAAAACCTGGGAGCACTGGACAGCCGTTTCGTCCTAGTATGGGACTCCTCAGCAGTGCGCATCCACGATCCTGCACCTCGCGAGATTCGAACCCAGGACCTATCAGTCTCGCGCCAGGCGCTTAACCAACTAGACCACTGAGTCGGCATCCATTGATGTTAATGTCTAACTTCGACCAATCCACGAAGTTGCGCCACCGTACACCATTATCTTCAGTGAGTTCCTATTTCACAACAGACCTGGTTGAGCTCCACTGGTAATGACTTCTCACTAGAACTCCAGGAGTATCTCCTGAAGTCAGTCACTATTGAGCAGGTGATTATTATTATCAGAATGGGTTTTGTGGAGATTTTTAGAAATTTCAGTTATCAATATGAATGTAATAAACATTAAATTAAATAACATAAGCAATCATCTAATATTTGCCTTTCTCTAATTAATTTTCCTGATTTGATAGAGTCAATCATATAATGAATGAGCTACCGGATTTCTCTGATACCTTTAATTGTCCAGTTGGAACACTGATGAATCCTAAAAAACGTTGTCGTGCAGCGCTCTAGTGGTATTTATCGATGAATCTATTTTTCACATAAAACAATTATTGTTCTATTTTTTAATTCATACACACAAGGTTTTATGTTATAGTATCCATTCAAACTGAAAACGATTTGTATATCTACACATGATCCAAATGAAATGGTAATTCAATCTGATTACTTTAAACTCTATTCACCAGAAATTGTTTACATAGACTTGTATTGATGAAATTTCTCTCCTTGTAATTTTATAAACATTCGTACTTTTCTTTTTAATATTATCTTATAATTAACAAGAAGGGGGGGCTCCATAAGATGTTTAGATACTTGATTTACCGACAATATTTCACAGATCATAGCTTACCAAGCCCAATTCTTTTGTTTATTTTATAAAGTGAAAATATAATGCATCAAGTTGAAAATTTGAGTCGAGCTATATGAAATAGCAAACTATTTTACTGATCCGTGAATATCTGACTCCAATTTGATCGTGTGATTATCATCATCGTCTTACACAAGTTGCCAAGCTTCGCATATAATTATCGACTTAACTCGCGTTAGTAAATAACAGAATTAAGTCAAATACGAGAATGCAGTTTTGAATAAGTATATTTTGAACAATCGTTGATCAGAACAGACAATCAGAGGGGAGATGGAGTGAAGGAAGCGAAGAGAAGCGGATTGGAGAAAGTGAGCCAAATCACTTTAATTAAGTGTTACTCAATATTCATAATCAGGCAAAAATAAGTTAGACATGTGATGAGTAAGATGAGAAATGTACACACACGCTCACATAAAAAGTCAAGTTGACAGGCAAATAGTTAGTAAGGTCAAAATGTGTCTCAAAAAGGATGAATAAATTGGTCTGTCCGGAAGGTAGAATAAGCTGTGTAGGCTTGACACAGAAACTGACACCACACTTTCATAAAATCACGTCATAGAGTGAAATTAATTGGAGAAATGATTGAAATCTATAGAGGCATTGGACAATCGTTTTGTTCATTTTAGACTCCTCAGTGGCATATATCTACGACTCCACACAGGACTGAAGAAAGAATCTTGAGATCACATAATATGCATCAAGCATTTAAACTGATGAGTCTGAATTGAATGGACCACATAAATGGCCTACTTATAAAAATTAGACGAGTAACAACACGTTTCGTGAAATACAGTGAAATAATTGTGCACGCTACCGTGTACTAGACATTGAAGAAATTCAGTTTATCGTTAAATCAGAACATCCGAAATGAAATTCGAATATATAACAGTCAAAAGGTTTAAAGACCGCACACAGGAAAGCAGTCAAGACACAAATCTAGCCACCATATTGCCATTTAGCAGGACTACCGGTTGTTGAGTCCACTTCAAGTCAAATAACACTGTTGACCTTCGTTTTATGCGTTATGCTCGATAAGTATACTGACGCTGATTAGCCCACAGAAATTATTTCTGCCCTCAACCTGCTTAATCATAAAACTAAGAAAACCAGCCGACTTTCTTCGATTATTGTTACGACTAAAAAAGTAATAATAAACAGGCACATAATTAGATGTAATTTGTAGCTAGCAAAACATAAATCGACAGTTAGTGAGTTGTTTTAAAGCCTGCAGTGTGAGAGTATTAAGAGGTAACTTCTAATGTAAAATAAAAATGAATGATGACAGTTAAGTAGAAATACTAATGAGTATTCATCGTCAGGGTATAGCAAACTTTGGGGTTCGATTTTATCTCCTAACAGAAATGGCCTCTAAGAAGCAGAGTGTAGAACAGTCATATTGCCGAAGGATTACTGTTAAGGCACACACGACATCTAATTTATGAGTAAGACCGAGTCGATTATGAATGTTTACAATATTGATATTACATGGTTCACTCAGACAAATATATTTCTGGGCATACTGTGCAGAGTTTACTTTGATCAAAGCATTTTCAAGTATTGACAAAATACCACTTCAAGTTTTTTAATTAATTAGCACCTTCCCATCTTACTATAGAACATTATTTTAGCAAATAAAAATTGACTATAAATAAGATTTAATATTGGTTTTCGAGTATCTTGGTAACAAATGTTAAGTTGTGCAATCACCCTCCTTATGTAAACACCACGATTTCCCTACCAACATCTTTACTAAACCGCGTTTAGTGTATTCAACAAGACTACTACTTATTGTTTTTAGAGTTTACGAATGGACGATGAACTTTACAACGTTGAAGTAGGTTAGCATTTTAATTGTCATATATTAACTGACATATTACTACGGAAAAAGTAAGTACGATAAGTTGATGAAAACGCCCAATTCAAGTGAACTCTAATAATTAAATTGAACACTAAGCCGGATAGTATAAAGGCGAAAATTCCCGTTTTCAACTTATATATCATGAATCAAATAGCCCCAATGAACTTGAATGTGAACTGGTATCCTCGGTAACAGGTGTAATCGTTAGTTGATTCCTAATCATGTAACTGCCTAACATTACGCTTTTTGCTTGACAGTAAACGAATTATATTTTACCAGTATTTAGAACATAATTTTTATCATCAAACATTTTAATGTAAATAAATTACCAAGTACATGCTTATGTGATAAGTCTTTAGATTTGAAATGAGCCACAAACTCAATTTAAAATACCCAGTGTACAGATGAAATAAATCGGTAATATAAAACTATTATTGGAAAAATATACTTCGTTCATATAATTGTTTTAATATAATGGGAATTTTTCATTGATTAATATAAAACTGTTATGTTGCTTCATTAACGTTTATTGGATAATAACCAGTGACCAAATAGTTAACATAATACAACACTGATTAGTCGAAGGATTGTCAATTTAGTAGCGTTCACCTTTCAGGCGTAGAATCGAAATCCTGAGACTCCAAACAATCCTGAGCATCTGTTTGTATATTTAATTTGGTTCATGATACCTTAGTATTTTCACAATTAAAAACCCATATTCCAGTCACTTACTATTTTGGAAGCTTTTGTCATTCATAGATTACAGTTAAACGACTAAATACATTACCCAGATTTGTATTGCAGATGTCCCCGTAATGTACCTACTGAGATTTATTATTCGTGTTACGTTTATAGTCAAGAAAATACGGGGTAACATATTTTATATTATATGCATAACACCTGAATAATTAAACTCACTGTTTTTGGGTGCGTGAGCAAGTCAGAACAACACCCCTGAATTTACTACAAGAGTCTACGACCACCCAAAATCAAATAGATAATCATCATAAAGAACATAGGACATAGGTATATCAGTCCAATCTACTGTTATCTCGTATAGTTCAAACAAACTATCTTGTTCAACTTCTCATTACCTATTGGATCAACGTCCTACCTATCACTGCTTATGTGGCATTAGTACGGTTTACAAGCACGTAGTTATGGTGTTGTAGGTTCAGCATTTGAGGGGTAATTGTAATTTGGCAAGAAATGTGACAGCGAACAAGAAGTTAATGTAAAAATACCCCTCCTAGTTATTGTGTCATATATGTATTGAATGTTATACAAACAGATAACTGATAAATATTACAGACTGACGAAAACGAAAACGAAGCATCACTATAAACGCTTAAGTCTGTAAACAAGTAAATCACACAAAAGAACAATGTAAATCATTTTTTGGAACAATATTTACTCTCTAAATAAGGAAACAGAAGGATGAAGCGCAATAACTTTAGCTAAGAATGCGTATATTCACCACTGTCAAAAATAAGAACCCAAACAATTAATCATCGCGAATTTGAAAATCAATACACCGCTCCTTAACTATTCTGCTTATCCTCATCTTCTTTTTCATCTTTTTTTGAACTTCTCTGTGACTGGGACTTAGTTAGAGCATCTATAGCCTTGCGAACATCTTCATTCTGAGTATCCACACCAGGCAAACTTTGTAAAACCGATTCCAAAAACTCAGCATCGTACATAACGTCCAAGTCAGCAGATGTAGGGACAGTTGACGAGTTGAAAGCTGATGTTGCAGCTGCCAATGTACCGGGATTAGGAGATAATTTCGGATTTTCAGTGACTTTAGTTGGAGTCTGATCTATATCCATAGCCACACCAGAGGGTTCAACAATAGTCTGTTGAAAGTGAGACATTGTAGAGCAATGATGAAAATTCAAAGAAATATAACCACACTAAAATAAACTAGATTGTTAACAAAAACTCAGACTGTTTATTTAAGCCTTTCTGATTAGTCCGCAGAAATACAACAATAAGCGAGTTATTCATAACCAATGTAGGATCTAACGTATATGGGTCTGCTCAAGACACACCACATTAGCACCGCAGGATAAGACTCCTAGATCCAAGAGTAGTAACAGTAGAAAAAGAAACAGGGTATACAATTTCGAGATTCAGTAGTGAATGGACCTGTGCCATTATGGACAGTTTTGAGCCGTATCATTTAAAGTCTCTAACTATTGGTACAATAATCACATAGACCCTAAGTGGGCAATCCAATCGCCAGTTAATTCATAGACCGATGCCATGGTGTCGTTTGACCGCCCATAACTTTCCCCAAGCCTACTCCTGCACCAGAAGACATCCCCGTCGACGTAAGTGGTGGTTGAGCATACGTAACACATATCCCAACCACCTCAATTATTTATTTATTTGAACACATGAATATTGGTACAAGAGAGCGCCAATATATATGCGCCACACAAAACAATGAGAATTCGAAGAGAAATAGAAAAAAAAAAGAGAACAATAACGAAGAGATTGGTGTAAGGGAGTGTGGTAGTAATGAGGGAACGGAAAGGTACAATCAGAAGAAATCCTTCAGGTAAGGGAGACACAACCACTTTTTATGAAGAAAGTAAAAGAAGGTTACAGCAGGATCGCCACTGGCTTCTATTCTGAGCCATATCTGATAACGTCTCTAGCCACTGTATGCCACCATCTCTCAGACCCCAACCAGGAAGTCGTGAAGGACCGACAGAAGCCAGTCCTTTGCAGCTTTCTTTCATGCCACGACACCATGTCATACACTGACCACCTATCCGCTTCTTCCAACCAGTCCCAGAGTCGGCAATTAATGCACGACGTGGAATTCTCTGGGACGACATTCGTAGAACATGTCCAAGCCACCGAAGTCGGTGTTTCAAGATGGTGACACCAATTGAATTATCATCTCTGTGCCCGAACACACGATGCCGAACCTCTGCATTACTGACATGGTGTTGCCACTGAATGTCAGCAATCCTTCGGAGACAGCGATGATTGAACACAGAGAGTCGTCTAACGTCCTCAACTCGGAGAGGCCAGGTTTCACAAGCATAGAGCAAAACTGCTCTCACCGACGCGTTGTAGATCCGGCCTTTTACAGCCAGACTAACATCACGAAGGCGTCAAAGATGGCCCAGATTGACATAAGCCGCTCTAGCTTTTATTATATGTCAATCGATCTCACCACTCACGCCACCACCAGCACTTATGCAGCTACATAGATACACGAACATCTCGACTACATCTATCTGCTCAACATCCAGGGTGAGTACAGGATTAGAATCATGTCAGTCTTGTAGAAGCACTGTGCACTTCGAAGGTTCAAAGCACATACCGTACCTACGGACACTGATTGCCAACTGATTAAGTGCGGATTGCATGCTTTGGGCATTATCGCACAGTAAGACAATATCGTCCGCATACTCAAGGTCGAGAAGTCCTTCTCCAGGCAACAGATCCACACCACTATTACTTACATTCATCAGAGCTGTTTCCAGAATGTCATCGATGGCAAAGTTGAAGAGGAATGGTGAGATTGGGCAACCCTGCCTAACCCCACTGCCCGAATGGAACAATGGAGAGAGGTGGTTGTATGCCCTCACTCTGCCTGAGGTGTTTTTATATAGGGCTTTTAGGATGTTAATAAACTTCTCAGGCACACCCTTCTTCAATAGACAATCCCAGAGAACAGCCCTGTCCAACGAATCGAAGGCAGCCCTGATGTCAAGAAACACTACGATTGTTGGCCTTTGATAAGTATGGCGGTGTTCTAACACTTAGCGGAGGGTGAAGATATGATCAATACATCCTCGACCAAAACGAAAACCAGCCTGCTCCTCGCGAGTCAATCTTTCTCGGGTTTTGAACAACCTACGAAGTATGACGGAAGCCAATAGCTTGGACGCAATCGGAAGTAGACTTATCCCCCGATAGTTGTTACAGGAACGACGTGAACCCTTTTTAAAGATAGGGACAACTATCGACTCATTCCATGACGTTGGAACACTCTCGAGCTCCCACACCTTTGTAAACAACGTCGTCAGTCCCTTAGTCAGAAAGTCACCACCATCTTAGAAAAGAGCCGGAGGTAAGTCATCTGGGCCAGGTGATTTGTAACGCTTCAAGGGTTGGAGTTCCTTGAGGACTTCCGCCTCATTTGGTGGATCAGTCATCACCGGCCATGGAGGGCAGGACAGTCTGACCGATGTTGCCGGAGCACCAGGCCAGTTGAACTGCCCTTCGAAAAATTCAGCCCATCGTCCAAGACGTCGATGGATGTTAGTGATTGGCATCCCATCATCCTCGCAGATTGTTTCACTCACACCAGACTTCTTGCTGCCAGTGGCTCGGATGAGTTGGAAGAGCTTCCGGTAGTTACCAGATGCAGCTGCTGCTTCCAGCACATTAGCACGCATCGACCACCAGGCTTCTCGGTCCTTACGCAAGCTTTGCCCAATTTCCTTACGTAACATCCTTCGTTTATGGTCAAAGTCACGGTCACCCGGAGTAGACCGACGAGCTTCAATGAGTTGTAAGGAACCTGCAGAAACCCAGTGCTTATAAGCGGGACGTTTCGCGAACCCACAACTGACTGTTCCCGCCATTTTCATGGCGTCATGCAATTGCAACCAATGCTCATCTATACTTTTCGGTGGAGTGGTAGCTAGCCTAGAGGCTAGCTCGGTTCGATACTTACTTGCAACAGAAGTTGCAACCAGCTTGCTAACATCAATCCGTTGATGGCGGTCACTTCGTTGTCCACTGAAAAGTAAGGCAAGATTGGCGCAGACCAAGGCATGGTCAGAGTCCAGATAGGTACTCCAAAAGGAGCGGCAGTCTTGTACACAACCACGCCAGCGGTAGCTGATCGCGATGTGATCAATCTGAGTCCAGGCTTGAGATGCAGAGGGAGGACGCCAGGTGGCACATCGGCGATGACTGTGCCGAAAGTTAGTGCTAGCCAGAAACAGGTTGTGGTCTGTGCAAAGTTGCAGTAGACGGTCCCCGTTATCTGACCTGCGACCAACGAGTCCCCATCGGCCACCTAAACGACTCTCTTCTGTGCCTAGACACCCGACCTGAGCATTCAAGTCTCCGGCTAGTAACGTTTTATGAACTCGAATCATTAGCACTGGTGGCGCGTGGTGATCAAGATATACGAGGAGGGTTAGTTGTGGGGATGGGAGAATTATTAAGAGGTGAGGGAAGGGTTCAGTCTTCAGTAAGATGGTCTCGGGTGCCAATAGTTCTGAGTGTGATAATCACTTCCCGATTTTCCACACCGTCGAAGAATATTACTTCATAGGGGACCTGTAGAAGTCGAATTAGTAAGTTTTAGCGATCTAGGAGAGTGACCCCGGACTCCATGAGACAACCACTTGAAACCGGTGGCCCACGGTCTTTTATGGGAAGCTTTTGATGTGTTAGCTTATTATTTTAGGTTTTAGCGCTAGAGACGGAAACCCATGAGGTAAGGTGAGGTGTAAAATTTCTGTAGTCGATTTTTTCTAACCTCTCCCGGTGTGAGACAGCATCGCTGCAGATGCAGACTGTCTGATGCAAACACTCTACTGCTATCACACTCCACTAAAATCAGTAGTACGACTTTGCTGTCGGACCTCGGGCATGGTTATCGTGATAACTTAATTGAGCTATATTGGTTAGGCTATCAAATCAACTGGCTTATCGCTGTTACCTGGCACTTTACGCCCTGAATAAGGGATACCCACCTGCTGGTAATAATTTGTAGACACTGGCAAACTAATATTACGAAAATGACTGATTTTCTATTTTTGGTAATGGGTGACGAAATTACATTAATCAGGAGTCTATTGAGTGATGAGATTCCAAGTGTCATTTAATTCGGTTTGGGCGACTGGGTAGTGATACTGAATAAAGTGTAGTACAAAGCCCAGTACACAAATATTTACTTGATAAGTTGCATCACATCAAATTTAATGGATAGACGCTAAAGAGCCAACAATATTTTTTGTTTGAGTAGATTAAGATGTTCCCAAATCACTTGCCGACATATTACGTCAATATTGTTAATTTACAGGAAGTCGCTTGTGCACATGATTCCAACAGAATTTATGAAGTAGTCCCTAATCAATTGGATGAAGTTACTTCTCGAGGGAATATCTGCGACAAAGTTCAATAGAAATGGGAAGAATGGGTATTCTTGACATTAGTCGTTTGACATACTCGCACCAAATGGTAGCTTGTTGTTAGTTTTGGCCCGAGTACAGAGAAGTGAGGTTTGGTTACTTATCCTTTTCAGTGAGACATTATTACCGGACACTGCCTAATTTATTTATTTAAACACACAAACATTGGTACAAGGATGCACCAAATAGATATGCGCCACATAAATCATTCGATTTGTGAGGATTGGGATACTGCTCGGGTGCCCAAACCCAAACAAGTGGTTTTCTTACGGGGGTACACCTGGAGCCTTTGACCTAAAGGTCTAACCCACAAGGCAGTGGAGCAACGTCAGGAGATGCAGTCCCATGGTATCCGGTGATCAACAATTGGTGCATACGCCATTCGTTCCCTCAGGATCCTGAAGCCCATGTGCGCGATTGGTTTAGAGTCAGGGTTTTCCAACTTCCCTAAGTAGATCCTCCATATCCACCAACCCCGTTAAAGCGCCGGACATTCACTTCCCGTCCTCTTATTTCCGTAAACAACACCGCCGCTACGAGAAGGCAGTGAGTAGGACTTCTCTAGTAGTGGTTGTATGCACGTGACCAAGTGAGAGCATTTTGAGAGGGACAGCTGACTCCCCCCACTCTCGGCCGTATCAGGGCATTTGGAGGCTAGTGCTTAATAGCTGAATTCCGTTTTTATGGCAAGTAATATGGCTGTGATTCATGCATACATAAAATTGCCTTTGAGATGGTGGAGATTTATAGCTCAGGTGGATGATTTGGGTAAAGTTTTGTTCTCTGAGACGGATGGTTTGGTCGTGGACCTTCCATCAGCAGCACAAACTTCAGGTAGAAGTTAAGTGTTCTAATGTCCCCTCATATAGCTACCACCTTGTCCTGTAGACATCGGTGCTGATTGGTTACTGTCATTGTTTACTTCATTATTTTGGCTGTATCTCCCATGGGTTTCATTTTTGGTCCTATATTTGCCTATAATTTTCTGATTGGTTGATAAATTGGATCGATTTCAATGTGTACGTTGGTTGCTTATTGGCCCGAGTGCCAAGCTTCTAAAAATTCTCTGGTTTTTAGAATTGCATCTATCAACATTTTTACAGTCGAATGTGTCCACATAAATTGATATAAGTGAGGATATGTCATGGCGTTTGACCGCTAGTTGATGTTCATGCAGGCAAAGATGAAGAGGTAGTTTGCTTTGTCCGATGTAGTGTTTTTCGTAGTTGGAACAATTTATTTTGTAGATGATGTTCGGTTTTTCTTTTGTCATTTCGTCTTTTGGTTTGCATAGGATTGATCGCAGTGATTTTGTTGGTTTGTATGCAACACCTATTCCGAAGAGTTTCAGCAATCTCGTTGTAGTTTCTGATATGCTTTTCAAATATGTTAGTTTATACTGATTATGTCGTTCAGAATAACGATGAAAGCTCCACGACTAAACCATCCACCTCAGAGAACAAAACCACCAAAATAAAGTTGCTTTTACCCTAGATTATAAACCAACAAGGAAATAAGTGAAATCTTTTGACAAATTTCAAACTATCTTAAGACTTATTGATATGATGGAAAAAGTCCATTTTCGATTGATTTACTCATTATGAGTTTGGTTCAACATTACTTCCGTTTTGATTCAATGTAATGATTACCCAATGCAGTATTTCTTTTCTTTTCTCGTATGATATTTTATCCTGTATAATATACGATATTCTTGTATTCCATTGACATGAACTATGCTCAGTATGTGCTTTCCTATAACTCGAAGTATTTTTCATATATGAGATTTCATCCTAATTATTAATCAAAATGGGTGTACAATCAATATATGAGTGTATTTTCTACCAGATTCGTCATCGTCGTGTTTTGGGGTTAACAAATCATCACTTATACCAGTTTTTGTTCTTACTTTCGCGTCGTGGAAACTGCAGAGGTCCCTCGTTCCGAGTATAAGTGATAAACGTTTCCGACATAACAATCAGTGACGACCAGATACAAAAAGTAGCATTAAAAGAGTCAAGACAGTATGCATTCAAACGACAAGTTATAACACTTATGCTACTGATAAAACGGCGTCACTCAGTTGTTTATGCAATATTAATCGAATACATTAATCTGATTTAAGCTAAGCTCGAAAGCTCATTAAACCACAAAACCTCCAGTCACTGAGTAACAGTTGGGGTCACACTGCATGTACCTTACTAGAAACGCGTAGCACCACTAGAATCTAGAGAAAATGAATATGAAGCTGAAATACAAGGATTTGTGATGTGTTCATTATCAGTCAGTCAGTCAGCTACAACGTAGGACAAGGCACATATGTGCATCGGTCCAGGTTGCCATACCGCATCAGCACAACAAGATGAACACCGGATTCATAGCAGTGGTTAGGTCAAAGGTGGTAATATATAAGAGAAAGATTGCATATAGAGATATAGTACAAGAAGAAAGAATTGGTTCGTAGAAAGAAAGATATGAAGCGATTTTAATCTCTTAGGTTAAGGGAAGACAGACAGTGTATACACCGACGCCATTGTGATCGATTCTGAGCCATGTCACCAAGAGTCTCCAACCATTGGTTACGATAGTCACGCGGACCCCAACCAAGTAGTCTGCATCTACCAACATGGCTCAGACTACAAGTTAGTGACTTCAAGCACTGATGCCACGTTTTGGTTTGGCCGCCCCTTACCTTCTTCCAACCATCTCCAACACCAGTTAGCATTGCACGTCGTGGTAATCGGTGTTCAGGCATACGTAACACGTGGCCCAACCATCTCAGTCGATGAGGATTCATAACCTCATCAACTGATTTACCATCATTTCCTAATACCCTGCGTCTAACCTCACTATTACTTACCCGGTGATCCCAGCAGACGCCAGCAATATTTCTAAGGCATCTGTGGTCAAATACTAATAGCTTACGAGTGTCTTCTACTCTTAATGGCCATGTTTCGCAGCCGTAAATTAAGACAGAACGGACTGCCGCGCAGTATACTCGTCCTTTAATTGATAGACGGATATCTTGCCTTCGCCACAGGTGACGTAAGTTGGCAAAAGCCAAACGAGCTTTTCGAATCCGTGCAGAGATTTCGTCCGATACCAACCCATTAGGGCTGATCAGACTTCCAAGATAAGTGAAGTTGTCAAAGCGTTCGACTACTTCACTCCCTATCCTTAGTTCAGGTGTTAACGCAGACCAGTCCTGAAGCAACAACTTGCATTTAGAGGGAGAGAAGCGCATTCCAAACATCCTGGCATTGTTGCTCAGTGCTACCAGAAGACTCTGTATTTTGTCAGCGTCTTCTCCAAACAGGACTATGTCATCTGCGTATTCTAAGTCGATAAGTGGACCTCCTGGAAAGAGATCAATACCCGAGAACTCAGTCGACGAGAAAGTTATTTCCATCAGTAGATCTATGAAGTTAAACAAAAATGGGGAAAGTGGACATCCTTGATGGACACCACTTGAGGTTGCAAAAGCAGATGACAGTTCGCCATAAGCTCTGACTCGACTAGTAGTGTTCGAGTAAAGAGCCTTTACAAGGTTTATGTACTTCTGGGGTACGCCTTTCAATGACAGACACTGCCACAGAATCTCGCGGTCTACCGAGTCAAATGCTGCTTTTAAATCGAGAAAGACCACCATTGTCGGACGTCGATAAGTATGCCTGTGTTCTAGAATCTGACGAATGGTGAATATGTGGTCGATGCAGCCACGACCAGGTCTAAAGCCAGCTTGGTTCTCTCGTGTTTGCAGTTCACGAGTCTTAGTTAGGCGTCATTATATGCTATTTAAACATACAAAAACAATAAACTAACCTGGTTGGACTCCAATGTAGTGGTGGTAGGTTGAGTCGTTTCCTCCCCCATCTGTTGTAAAGACATGCGCAGTGCGTATGCTATCTGATCTTCTTCTGACATAGCTGCCAGGTCGATATCCATAGGCAAGGATGAAGATTCGGTATTATTCATTTGCATTGACATAGCCAAAGCCTGCTGAAGCATAGCTTCTTCGGATGTTCCTGACCCAGCTGGTAAAACATAAGCAAACGAAAATTCAATACCAGATTACAAAAAGTGAGGTGAAGCAATATGGAGTCCAAAGCGACGTCGACGGTCTACATTTAGACCTTAAGATGAAAATAATAGGATCACACAAAAAAGTATTTTGCAAAAAGTATTTCTGTTGAATTACACCTTTCTTGATTATTAGTTTATTTGCTGCTTCAGTCTTACTTAAAATGAGATAGCGTTAATATTCCAGTCGATTGGTTAGGGTGCATTTACATCGCCAGGTAAATAAAAAATTCCACAATAGACAGGCAATACACTTCTAGCTAATGCAAGTAGGTGGAAGAGTTTTTATGTGCAGAACACAAGTTAGTAGAATCTAGTTATACGGTAGACAAATAGGAAAAAACGGTGTGAACAGTAATGGGACCATTTTTAAATAACTAGGGAAATGGACACACTTCAATGAAACCAACATTCCCTTGGGATACTTTCTGGACCCTACCCATGAAGATTTATCTGTAAAACAAAACGCATTTTTTAATTACCTGGTAACGATGTTGCTACGACTGAAGTATTACTACCATCTCCATTAACCTCATGTTCTTGACGCATGCGCTGGTCTTCCATTGATACTCTGAGGGCATAGAGTAGATCAGGATCCTCTGCCCCATCTAATCCAAACTCCAAGCCTAACCCAGCACCAGCCATCCCAGAACCATCCTCACCAGCAACAACGGGGCTGGTCATCAAAGTATCATGTAAGACTGTCCCCGGGGCAACAGATATGAGGTGAGAACCTGTCCCATCCTTTCCATTCAGTGTGTCGATGAATTCTGATAACTTTTGCTCATTTGTTTCATTCTCACCAAAATTAATAATATCGACATTAACTTTCTCTTTTTTGAGACGCTTGGCAAGCCTAGTTAACTAAACACATATGTTGTCAGTCTAAGGAATGACCTCACTTCTTTTTCATCCTCTAATATAGGACTACCGATGAAACATACGATTCTCATTTTCTGATGTCTCAATTGACGATGACGAAGTGCGAGGTGGGCTATCCTTATTGATGAGCAGAAGATGATGCTGCCTTTTGGCTCCACAAGGTGTAGACGATTGTATATCTTACTCACATCATTTGTTAGCGTACAGAGTACCTCGGTATTTGCAAGGGACAACAAACCAATGGTATTCTCTGGATTGCGTTGGCGTTTGCTCTGACAGATCAAACCAACAGCATCATTTTGCGCCTGCAGACGTGTTGGGAAGAAGTCCCCATTTCGCATGTAATCACTATTATCAACTCTGAATTTCGAAAATATTAAATAAAGAGAGCCAATTTACGCTATGATCGTAGCTTCTTGAGACATTAGACAGACAATCTAAACTTGGCTCTTTGAATTCAATCCCCAATGTCTGCGTTCAATCACGACTGTAAAAAAGTAACTAAACAACGCCAAAAATAAAATTTACTAAACTTAAGACCTGTAACACTGTAAAGCATCAACAACAAAATGGTTATTAACTTTGACAAACTCATTGAATGTCTTGTAAAAGTCACTTTTTACCACGGTGCATTACTTCGAAACTCCTCCTGTAGTTCATCTAGTGCTTATTCATTTGTTATTCACCTGAACACATGAGTGTTGGTATATAATAGGCACCAAATACATATGCCCCACATAATAACAACGAGAATGTTAAGAGGTACAGAATGTAAAGTGAGTATAAGAAAAACGAGAACGACAATCGACAGAAATTAGTGTATGAGAGTGAAGTAATTATAATAGGAAGAGCAGTTCGGTTAACAGAAGTACAAACGGATAGAATTTTTTCGTGTGGAAAATTTGTTTTCAGTTTTTATTAAGAAAGTTGCAGAAGGATCACCACTGACGTTAAATCTGAGCCATATCTGATAACGTCTTGAGCCACTGTGTTGCACAATCTCGAGGACCCCAACCAGGAAGACGTGGGGGACCAACAGAGGCCATCCATGTATAGCTTTCTTTCATAACGATATGTCATACACTTACCATCCCTCTGCTTTTTCCAATTAGTTCCAACGTCAGCAAATGGTGCACAATGAAGAATTCTCTGGAACGACACTCGTAGAAAATGCCTAAGCCACCGGAGTCGATGTTTCAAGATAGTGAGACTAACTGAATCATCGTCACTGTGACCGAACCCACAATGCCGAATCTCTGCATTCTTAACATGGTGTTGCCACTGGATATCAGCAACCCTTCGGAGACAACGATCAAACACAGAGTCGTCTAACATCCTCAACTCGGAGAGACCAGGTTTCACAAGAATGAACAGTAACTGCTCTCACATTGTAGATCCGACTTCTCCGACCTGATTAGCATCATAAAGGTGCCAAAGATGGCCCAGATTGAAATAAGTCTCTCTGGCTTTCACTATACGTGAATTGATCTCATCATTTACGCCACCATCAGCACTTATGCAGCTACCTAGATACACGAACTTCTCAACTACTTCTGTCTGCTCACTATCCAGGGTGAGTGCAGGAATGTTGCCCTGTCAATCTTCTAAAAGTACTTTGCACTTCGAAAGCATGAAGCACATACCACACATACGGACATTGATTGCCAACTGACTGAGTGCGGATTGCATGCCTTGGGTATCGTCATACATCAAGACAACATCATCCGCATACTCAAGGTCGAGAAGTCTTTCTCCAGGCAACAGATCAACACCGCCATTACTTACATCCATCAGAGCTGTTTCCAGAATGTCATCGATGGCAAAGTTGAAGAGGAGTGGTGAGATTGGCCACTGCTTGGATGAAGCATTGGAGAGAGGTGGTTGTATAACCTCACTCTGATCGAGGTGCTTGTTTATAGGGATTTGAAGGTGATAATAAACTCAGGTACGCCCTTCTTCAATAGACAAATCCAAAGAATAGTCCTGTCCAACGAATCGAAGACAGCCCTGTTGACACGAAACACTACGATTGTTGGCCTGTGATAAGTATGACGGTGTTCTAACATTTGGTGGAGGTTGACAATATGATCAATACGTCCTCAACCAGAAAGAAAACCAGCCTGCTCGTCGCGAGTTAACCTTTCTCAGTTTTTGAACAATCTGAGAAATATGACGGAAGCCAAAGGTTTGGTCGCGTTTGAAAAGAGGCGTAAACCCCGACAGTTGTAACAGAAATATGGGAAAAACTATCAGTACAGTCCAAGACGTTGGAATACTCTCTAATCGCCAGACATTTGTAAACAATGTAGTCAGTTCCATTACCAGTACGTCATCACCATCTTCAAAATGGGCTCGAGGTAAGCAGTCTAGACATCGATACCAAGGTTAGAAATTGTACACCTACCAACACAGAAGAAAGACGTGTGGCGGAGGTGTTAAATAACTAACTCAACTATTGTACAATTTAATATTTTCTGCTATATGCTTTATTTCGCTATAGTATAGCAGTACAGCCTCATTAACCCCACTTTATGCGGGAATTCATGATTGTGACTTGCCGAATTTTTAGCTTATTGGGAATTTTTAGCAACTTGCAACAATCAGTCTCATTTTAGAAGGGACAGGAAGCTAGGTGGCCTGTGTTAGTCCTGGTGATGGTGACCTCTCGCTTGATCAAACTTTTTGGAAGCGTCGACAGATGGGGCTTCAATTGCGTGTTAAGGTAATGAATTCCATTCGTCGGTGGTTCGATGGGAAAGTCGATAGTCAGTTGACAAGTTATTTGTCTTAGGCTTGTGAACGTCTTTGAAGTATCCTCGTGAGTTTTATTTTTTGAAAGACAAGAAGAATGAGGGAATATCCGATGCAAATTTATCACTAAGTAATCTGAAAACTATGGTCAAGTCATCTCTGGTTCTTCGATGTGACAATGGAAATAGGTCTAGTTTAGCCAGTCGAGCATCATCCTTGAGTTTCACTATACCAGGAATCAACTTAACTGCTGTCCTCTGAACATTTCCCAGAGGCTCACTGTCTTTTTAGGCAGAGGCTAGCCGCTTGTATGTAGTGCTCGAGTTAAGGACTCGCAAATACCGTATACAAAGTCAAGAAAGTTTTGGCATGAACATGTCTAAAGGCCCTACATATTAACCATAGGGTTCTAAAACCGTTGGTGGCTATCGCACTGAGGTGTGCAGCAGATTTTAGGTCTTGGATAACGATGACTCTCAAGTCATTGTGTGTCTGGACAACAGGTAGCTCAACGTTATTCATCGTGTATGTATCTGTACCCTGATGACCAATATAAGTCACAATACACTTGAAAGTATTTATCGGCAACTGCCGATTTTGAGACCATTCAAATAGCTTAGAGCTTCAAAATAACCTGAAGAAATTATCACGTTTACTTTCTGTTACCCCCCATATCAGCATATAGCATATAGTAAGACCGATGATGACAGAAGACTTGGAAGGCCATTTACATACAAGGGGAACAACACTGACCCTAAAACTGTACCGTAATGCACTCTGCTAAGTACAATCTCCCAGTTAGGTAACTTGAGGTTCACCTGTACATTTTATTAATGCCCAACTAGGAAGTCTTTTGTCCACATTAATAAATGGCCTTCAACCCCGATGTTACTTAACTTATATGACAGTCAGTTGTGGGGATCTTTGCTAAAAGCTTAGCTGAAATTAATGTAGGCTGCAACTTTATGTAACTTTTGGTTTTTAATAGTCGCCGTTTACCAACTGGATTCCACATGCAACCGAACAGGCCACATGATGCAAGGCACAAGCACTAAAGCATATTGGAATTAACAATCCCACATGTGGACAGGGAATAGCAACTCGGAAAACCTTGTGTAGGTAAGTTGCTTGTCCATTCACATGAGGCTCATTCATACAAACAGGATGAGGAAGCTCACGCGTTTCAAACTGAAATCATAAACTGCCATATTTACGAACGCTGAGAGTTTACCAAACGAAATGAATGAGTTGAATTAACTAAGTGAAGGCAATAATACCCATCAGAGAGGTGTACCTGAAACATGAAGATTATCTGAAGTAAGTGAATAGGAGCTAGCAATACCCGACATATTTTTGCTTCGCAATGACATAAAAACAGGAACGGGGAGCAGAGTAGCTCTGTACCTACAATCTTGCTTGGTAGCACATGAAGTATACACTCAAGAGTTTATCAAACTTGATGAATTTGTGTGGTGCTTAGTAGGATTGTCTAACACCTCGAAACGTACACTGGAGGTGACAACTGAAGCTCGGTTATTCAAGTTCATTGAAGACCTGGTGGAAAAATAGTCAGACGCTGTCACGCCTAGACAGCATATTTACAAACGAAGAATTCCTAATTGACAAACTCCGAATTCTTAATACCTGGGTAAAAGTGATCAATTTTGTCAGCAAAACTGAGCTAAAGCACTCTACAAACATTGAACGTAGGAGTTTCAAATGGTTAGACATGTCAGTCATACAGGTCAATCTACGGCAGGTGTATGGAGAGACCCATCCTCAACGTGAGGTATACGCTGATTGGAATTTCCTACAGTACGCGATCCTACGTGCTACCTGATAGTGTTTCGGAAACGGTCTCTACAAACTAAATAGAACCTACAGTCTTAAGGAATAGCACCTTTAGATTGCTAAGACGCGATAGGCACTAGTGAATGGAATATAAACGAACTATTGACAACCTCACATATAGGCATTTCAAACAAGTAAGCAACCAATTCACAGAAGCAATACAAGAAGACAGGCTTCAGTAACCGACACGAAAAATCGTTAAATTTCACTCCGGTCCGAAAAGCTTATTATATTATACAGCCTGTTAGGTCCCGAGAAACATAATGAATCGTAACTTTTGGGATTTTTTTATGAACCAATACTAAACGTACATTTCTATCGTATGGTTGTTAAATAACCAAACTATTCATATTCGTATCAGAAGGGGTTTTGTGGACATTCTAATAATTTCAATAGTTCAGATCATGAGTCAGTTGAAGCTAGACCACCATGAAAACCTCGACGCAGTGGATGGCCGTTTCGTCCTATTGTGGGACTCCCATGTTCATACTCATTCCCCTTATTATAAACTTTATTTTGACCTATGGACCATTATTATACGTTTTACAATTCTTGAATTATGCCCTGTCTAGTAGTCACTGCCTCCCACATTCACAGCCACATTTGACCAAATTTTGTTCAAATGTTTATTTCTATTTTATGGTCTGTTTGATTGATACATAAACACAGTATGTTTGAAATGTAAGGATTCATATTGCAGAGGCTGAGACTGTTCTGCACCTAACCGGCTGGGCTAGGCGGAAAGCAGGACCAATCAGGATTGTAGGCTGCTCGCACATGTTTTACGCGTCCTTGGTCCGATCGATAAGTCAATGCCTTCTAATCGGCAGTCTCAAGATATAACACAGTCTGACTTCGATAAGTCGAAAAACGGAGTC